GTGCAGTGAATCAACCCCCAGGAAAATCTGTTTCCTGTTAAATGTTGCTTCAAGTAGTTCTACTCCCTAAATCTCAAAGCACTATTAGAAACTTTTATGAATATCAATAGGTTTTGATTGGCAAGACTTCCATTCCCAGAGCTTAATAATTAGTAGAAATGTGATTTTAAAAATCTCATTAGTTAAATACAATTGGTAAAGAGGAAAAGAAGCCTGTTGTGGGTCTTTTTCTTTTTGGTGTCTGTCAGGATACTTGATTCTGTGTTGCAGAGAACTTTCCCTTTCGTTATAAAACAGCACTGCTCCTTTGTTCACCACTGAATTGTCAAAGCTCCAAGTTTCTCTTTATTTTCTTCCTAACCTCCTTTGAATGTTCCACATCTCTGTAGACTCTGTATTTGTACATCAAAACAACAAAAACAAGGAAATGTAAAAATTGTAGAAAACAATTACAGAGAAAAAATGCATAAGTGTATAAATTGCACTCCCTATGAAACAGTCCACAAAAGATTGCCTTACGCATGACAAGACTGTTCTAACATCAAGTTAAAATTGTGTTTCTTCAGGAACAAATGAGCTAAAAATAGTTTACATAAAAATCATGTGCATTGACCAACTAAGAAACTATGGATGAAACTGCCCTGTTTGCACTGGAATTTCTAATATATTTTTTAAGTTGTGTCTAAGTTTTGTAAGCAGTTTTAAGTCTGTAAAATAAGTTATACTGAAAGTTTATTTTACTGCAATTGATGTAAACAATATATCAAAGAAAGGAATACAGAAATCTCCTAAGTATTAGTAAAGCAAATAATTACTCTTTAATTAATGTAAATTATAGCTTAACTAAGCTGAATGGCTTGCCACAAATAAAAAAAGGAAGTATGACATTCCTGATTTCTATATTTTTATAAGCGGAATTCAATTAATGTGTTATTTCGAGTTTATTACCAAGCCTATCAAATTTTCATTACTTCAGGACAAGGACTACTTAATATAAAGGAAATAATCATTGTTAAAATCTGAAATCTTAGATTATATCATCTGTAAACAAACCTCCTATTTCAATTAAAATATATATATATTTGATAAAGCAGATATAATATCTTGATGGAAGTTTTAATAGAAATTGTATCTAAATTCAAAATATTCAGATTTTGCTATTTTCAAAATCTCCTTAGATAAGACATTGATGAAAACTCGTCAGCCTATATACTTAAATCTTGTCCACTTACTTGTGTATAAACTACATTTTACTTTTAAAAAGATTCTCAACCATATGGCCCAGATACCTATAGTCACTTAATATAAAGGAAAAATCCAAGAACTAGAAATGTTCATGCTGTTTGCTGTTGATTTGCGCAGTCACTTTAAATCTTTTTTATGCTCTTACTTCAACCCCTATTTGATCATTGGATCTACTCCTCAGGGAATGTATGGAGAAGCAATTGAACCACCTCTGCCTTCGTCTTTCACACACCTTGTCCCTAAGCATTCATGATTTAGAGAGTTCAAGGTAAGCTTCTAAGGTACATTCATATCAATAGGATTACATGAAAGTGTTAGCTTTTTTTGTGCTAAAGGGCTTTTCTTTTTTCTTTTACTGGGGGAAAAGATTTGCTTTTGGCAAACTCCCCATGGCAAACTTCTTTGAAGGAACAAATTCTGAAGTGCATTCATCCCTGTCTTCAGGAACTTGCTAGCTAAAGCATTTAAAGGAGGTACTGGGACATTTCCCAACACTACCTTTCTGAATTTGCAGGGTGATCTTAGTCAATTTGGAATTTTGACAGATTTCCCAGAATACCTTGTAAAAGTGTCTTTCTAAAAGCAAACTTCATGAAAGATTCCAATTATGCAGCCCCATGTCCCCAAATAAATTCTTTGTATATGCCAAATTCTTTGTATACGCTAAACAAACAGTATTCAGCAAATGATTCTTAAACTGAGAAACATTTTTCTAATATACACAGTGAAATTTATACAGTCTCTAACTATAGGTGACTTCATAAAGTTAATGAATATGAGACAGCAAGGTATAAGATGAAAAAAATCTGTGTCCAGAGTAGCACTACTCCAAGCATTATATATATATATATATATATAATCAAAGCTATGTCTGTTCCAATTGTTTGGCACTTCAGATCACTCTTACAGGATCAGTTTATCAGCCAGTTATTTATCAGAACAGAAAGTAACTTTAACTTTAACCCTGCCCTTCTGTTTTACAGAGAGAAACTGAAATTCAAGTTCTTGAGACTTAATCATGATTATTCATGAGGTTCAAAGATTTAACCTTTACATTTCACATGGTTACATTTACCCATGTTGGTGAAATATTTAAGGTTAAACTTCTATTAAATATTATTAGTGTTTTATAAGGGCAGTTTTCCCAATATATAAGAACAACATTTTTCCAATAAAAGCATTGCTTGCCCAGTATATAAGAGAAGATCTGCTTAGATTTGAATTAAATTTATCTAAAGTATAGTCTAAGTAACCAGAGAGACATAGATTCAAATCCTAGCCCCAAATCCTGGTCTCACAACAAACTAGTCATGTGACTATGAGAAGATTTTTGGGACTCAATTTTACTACCTATAAAATCATAAGAAATAATTTTGGGCAAAGACTCTTGTGAAGGAATAACTGAATTCCAGTAAATAATGTGCCTACTTAGGAAATGGGTCCTATACTCAGTAAAGTGTACTATGTTTTAAATTCCAAATGAGAAATGGCATATGTTTACTTCAAAATTATTTGGCTTCATGTTTGAGCCCTGTGACTAGAGTTGCTAACATATAATTAAATAATTTAAAATGAAATTACTAGCTTATGAAAAATATTTCTTGAGCTCAGCTTGAGTCAGGCATCGTGATAGCACAGAAAAAACATGTAATTCAGTCCCTGTCCTGCAAAAGAAATCAATAGTGATCCATAAATGTCTCTAGGTGATCAAGTGCTAAGCTATATAGGGGAGAAGAGAAGAAGTATACCTTTGTGGAAATCATAAAAATGCCCAGGACAGACAGTGGAGGACATATGAATGAAGGTGATGATTAAGATGACAGGGGAGAGACAGTCCTGGGTGAGAAGGCAAGAGGGATTGTGTAAGAGGACCAGGCTTAAATCTGCCCTAGAGAAGCCAAATGAGCGAACTAGTCATACTCCAAGTGCATCCATTAATTCCTCTTTCAGATAACAATGTGCATTGTTCTTCACTCTGCTATGAAACAATTGAAAGTTGACCTTTTTCACTGAGGTGGAGTAGATAAGAACTATGTTCAAAACAGCCTGTTTTGTAATTAGCACTCACAACTCCATCATACTTCACATTCCTTTAACCTCTTTTTTTTATAGTAGTCTTAACTACATGTTTTCACTTAAAATTCACTTTCTAAGATAGAAATTGATTTTCGGCTTCCAGTTTCCCAGAAAGTATTTCACTGGGGCAAAAACAAAAGAGAAGAAAAGAAAGGCAGAGAGAGAAAGGAAAGAAATAAAGTCCAACATTCAAGTCTCGTCTAATCCATTAACTAAGGGTGAAAACAAGAAAGTGCGCCTAGTCTCCAGGCCAAACCGCTCTGTGAATGGATGGAACATGGAATGGTGCTTCGGGGACCTGAAATGTCACAGTCCTGCTGGGACGTCACGGACCGGAGGACAGCAGAGTCACATGCAGTGCACCACTGGGCCTACTTGCTGACTTTTATGCAAGAGCAGAGCTGCTTTGCAGAAAAAAGAAGGCGCGCTGGCTATCCTCTCCAAGAGCAGCCCCAAGGCCGGAGAGAGAAGGAATGATTTCTCTCTTCCCTGCTGGGGTCCTTGTGGACTTGAAACCTCAGGGTAAAACAGAAGCAAAGAGCACAATCCCCAAACCAATGAGTTCCTAACAATCACGGCGCGACATTTATCCATATGAAAAGACACAGTGCGCCTTAAAGCGATTAACACCGAGGTTTGTTCCGGTCTGGAGCCCCCAGCAGGACGCGGTGCATGACAACTTGCCCTTGACTCAGATTCTTCATTCGTAAAAGTTAGAACGATGACAAACACAGAGCCCAGCCCGTGCGGGACGCGCCCTGGTCAGGCTGCCCTCTGCAGCGGGCAGCTCCAGCTGACGCTGTCCAGGCTTTGCCCGAGGGGAAAGGTTGCCGCTCGGTCTGGAGGGCGGGAGAAGTCTGGCGGTGATTGATGGGGAGTGGAAGAATGAATAAAAGTGCTTGTCTGGGGACAGCGGAGTCCCATTCCCTCAGGGTTTCGTCAGAGCCAGGCCCGCCTGCAGTTGGGGGTGGCGGGGGTGCCCCGCTCCCAGCAGGCAGCCCAAGTCCAGCGCGCGGACTGCAGCTCTGCGTCCCACACTGAGCTCGGCGCTGCTCACCCACGCCGGGGGCGTCCTATCCTCAAGGTAAACTTTCTAGCTTGGCGATGAGTTAAAACCAGTGACTGACTCTTGTTTTGGGTTCAGTTCGACTTACTTACTCCTTTGGGAAAATTTTTCTTTTTAAAGAACTCAGTAAGAAATATAGATGCAGCAAATTTAAATGAAGTTGTGTAAAGGAGACGTTTGAGTGTTGGAAGCCACTTAGAAGAGACAGAAGCTTCCAAGTTATTGCTGGTGTTTCCCCAAGTTAGACTTGAGGTGAGAAGACTGCCTCCCCGATTCCCTCCGTGCACTCCTGCGCGCTCTGGGGGAACTGCGGCGCAGCAGGCTGGGAGCAGCTACTTGCACCGCCGCGAACAGTTCTGGAAGGTCTGGGTGGCCCTGGGTGATCTGGGTTCCCCTGCCGAGCAAAATACAGAGATCACCACCTGCCCTTGGCCGCTAGATAAATTGATTCCCTAGTCCCTACCCTTAGTTACAATGCATATCCTCCTCGCCTTACCCTGGAGAGTTCTGTCCAGAGCGCTACCATCCTTCCTTCCTAGGCACACCCCTTCCAGAATGCCCCGCCCCACCGAGAGAGACCTACCCCTTGGCGGGAAGTGGGGGAGGAAAAACCCGGGAGAGGTATTTTAAGAAGGAGATTTAACTCCCAGCGAGTGACGCACACCGAAGCTCCCACTGGCGCGCAAACTTAAGTTACTTTTGCACGCGGGTAGTGGCGATGCGCTGAGCTTTGCGCTAGTGTTTGCCGAGGTGCGGCTCAGTAGCTGATCCTAGTGTCCCGTCTTGGTTTCCCCTCCAGCCTGCAGACCGAGATCAGCGGAGCGGCCACCGGACACCCACTGAAACAAGCAGCAGCATGCTGTCGCCGCCAAGTCTGTGCGGGCTCGCCCTGGTGGCGCTGGCTTTTGCCTGCATTTCGGCTGGAGTCTGGGGAGAGGATAGAGGATTCCGGCCAGCTTGGACCACTCCAAGGCTTCTGGAGACCAGAGAGAGAATAACGCCATCTACTAAGATCTCCTGGCCAAGAAGTTCCAACTCCAGCTTGCCAGAATCCTCGGCACCTGCACAGACACCCGAAAGAGGACAGACGCATGGGGGCCCACCTCGTCCTCCCTCCGCCTCACAATGCCACAGAAACATTGAGATCAAGGAGACTTTCAAATATATCAACACGGTGGTGTCCTGCTTAGTGTTCGTGTTAGGCATCATCGGGAACTCCACACTGCTGAGAATCATCTACAAGAACAAGTGCATGAGAAACGGTCCTAACATCTTGATCGCCAGCCTGGCTCTGGGAGACCTTCTGCATATCGTCATTGACATCCCCATCAGTGTCTACAAGGTACAGGGCGCTGTGCACACCTGGAGGGTTTATATATGGGAGGGGCCTGGCTGGACAGGGGCGCTAAGACCGCCATCAGAGGGAGCTTTCTCATGAATATTCTTCCCCTCCTAAAAGTCACTGGAACCAAATTCTCTTCTTGTCTTTGGTAGCTCTCTGCAAAGCCTAGGGCAAGTGCAGTGTTTTGATCAGCACCTTACCTTTACATTGGGAACTTACTAGAAATTGAGGTTTTTACTGCCCCACCCCAGGCCCAGTGAAACTCTGGGATGGAGCACAGTAATTTGCATTTCTAAAGCCCTCTATGTGGTTGTAGTGAACTCTGTGAGAATCACCAAGAGTAGTCTAGCTATATGGGTACATTCTCGACTCAAAGTGTAGCTCACAGGCTGGCAGCATTGCCATCCCCGGGGCTTGTTAGGGAATGCAGGTCTTCCCCAGACTTACTACAATAGCATCTGCACCTCTAAAACTCAGGTGATTCATATGCATGCTAACTTCAGGGAGCATTGTCTTGGGAGATCAAGAAAGTGAGTAGCTGGAGTAGGTTTGGGGGAAACAAAAGGCCTGGAAGGAAGAGGCCCCAGCCTGGTGAGTGGGAAAAACAGTCCAGCTGCTAAGCTTTGGTGTCTCCCCCAAACACCTGCAGTAGTACAACCCACAAATAGATATCTCCAACCTTTTACAGGTGACTCTAGAAGGTTCAAGGCCTTCCAATAGTGAGAACTAGAGCTGGAGATCAGCCCCAAGTCGGTCAGGTTCCAAAGTGTACACCTTAGATTATTCTATGGACAAGACTAAGGAGCACTCAAAGTGTGTGACAATTTTAGTAGTAAGCATTACTGTGTGACCTTATTATTAGCATTATTGTCATTACAGACATCAGAGGACAGATATAAGAAATGGGGCAGAACAAAAGCAACCACTGTTGGACTCCAGGTTATTTTGGAACTCTGGACACATCCCAACCCTCTGGGTCTCAGTTTCCTCAACTCCACAGTGAGGCTTGTAGTCTCCACATACTAGCTATTTGTGGTGTTAAAGAAAGCAGCTTGAGTCAAGGAGCAGGAAAATTTTAAAGCACTATGCAGATATTTAAAACATTGCTTCCCAATGATGAGCAATAGATTGTCACACGTAGAAGCATAACCAAAGCATTAGGGAAGGAGAACACCTTTTGTGGATTTGTGCACAAGTGCAAAGGTAAACATGGGAGGTAGGGTTGGGTGATATTGCAGGGGATGCTTTGAGTGTGGTTAACGAACAGCATACTTAACGCATTTGACTTCTTAAATCTCTGGAAATTCTAAGCCAAATGCCACATTATAAAGTAATTCCAGATATTTCTGAGGTTTAGAGGTGAGAGTCAGATAAAGATCTAGGTCTGCAGAAATCTCTTCCAGGATTGGGGAATAAACTGAAGAAACTGTACAATCCAGCACAGCACTTGGTTCTTAGGGACTCTAAGGGTTTACTTTAAACCAAAGTATGGATTAAAAGTCGTTTTATTGTAGTCATAACTCCAATAGGGAAAAAAAAAAATCTGCTTCTTAAGGAATCCTACAGACTAAACCATACCCTGGTAATTTGATGAAGAAATTTTGGTTCATTGAAACTGTAGCCCCCACACATCTAGCCCAGTTGTAAACCTCCCTAAATCAACCAGAAACTGAAGTTTGTGTTGAAGGTAGGGTTGAGAACATTTTCTTTTGTTGTGTTGCTTCCAGACAAGATGTAAATCAGTCCTTCCAGGATGGTGGAAGAGACTTTCTGTCTCATCAAATGACTGTTTTCCATAAACCAAAGACTATCTGACTGAGCACACAGGATTCCTTTCATTTCAAAGTCTTTTATTATTTCCCTAGGAAGTTGCATCCTTTTCTCTGAAGCCGTGCAATCTGTTAAAGCTGTGTTTTTACTTCTGAAATAAAATAATGAGTCATTACAAACCCAGTCATCTAGATATTTTTGTAAGTCAGAGATAAATCCATCACATAAAATTATGTCTCACTGTTAGGTTTGCTGAGATGGGCTCTTGCATAGCTTTTTTTTGGTTTAATATAATAACACTGGCTACCATTTAGTATGAGCTAGAAATTTGCTTCATTTCATTAAATTACTGCAAGAATTTTAGGAAGTAGAAATTGTTATCATGCTGTTTCAGATCTGGGAAAATTACAAGTTGAGTGAAGAAGTAAATCGCTCCCTGTCACAACACTACAAAGCGATTGAAGTAGGCTTGAACCTAGGTCATCTGGCCCTGGGACATGTGTTCCCTGCACCCCAGGGCATCAACTATACTCAACAACGTGGCCTAGAGCCTTGGCCCTTGTGACAACCTCAGCTGGGTGTCTCTGCAAAGTATGTGACGCATCACCACACAGTAGAATTCTTGGTAAAGATGTTCAGGATGAAGCTGAATTCTCTGAGGGTTTTTAACTCTTGAAAACCCAGTTATCTAGACATTGGTGGCCCGTAGTGTATAATATAAATATCAGTGGATGTTTCTCTAAAGACTCCTCACCAAAATGCTTAACTGAAACTAACTTATTCATCTAAAAATTGTAGAACCATAAGTTTACAAAATGCATTTAGAAGCTGGGCATAGTGGCTCAAACTTATACTCCTTGCATTATGGAAAGCTGAGGCAGGAGGACTGCAAGTTCAAACCCTGCTTGGGAAACTAGCAATTTAAAAATATCTTGTTTAAAATTTTTAAAAGGGACTGGGGATTTAACTTAGTGAGGAGGCCTTGGGTTCAACCTCTAGCATCACAAAAAAATTTTTTCTGAGTTGTCAAGTGTCATGGTTACTACAGTTAACTTAAGTGAATTAGGAATGTTATTGTTGAGAATGCCTAAGGTAAAACATTTGAATCCCTAAATAAGTGATTTCTGATTTTTTTTTCTTTCTTTTTTTTTTTTGTGAGATGTTAAAATTCTCCTTGAGAATCCAATATACACAATTTCTGGAGGTTCATAGAATCCCTCAACCCTTTGGTTAATATACTCAAGGGGCCAAAAATATCCATTTGAACCTACAACATTAATTTTGAACTAAACAAATACAGAGTTCAGTAATACTGACATCAATAGAATGCCATGGCTCTTGCTGGGGGCCACAGTCCTTGATGTGGCTGTAAAATGGAACAGAACTTTACAGGAAGAGAGGTGCCTGGAGGTGCTGATAGCCTTTGGAAGCAGACCTGCTTGCTGGGCCTTGTCTCCCTCGAAACTCTCAGAATCAATCACTTTCCCATCTCCTATGTTAAGAGATCAGTACTGAAGGCCAGGGGTCTCTGGAATGAGCAAATTGAGGTTGTTGAAGCATTTCAGGTACTCCAGTAAACTTGCTGAGCATAACGAGCTCTATTTACTTTCCACAGGAGCACAGATAAGGTCGTGCCTACATTTCACAACAGAAAACAGATGAAAAGTCAGTAATTCAACCACCCAAAGTGGATATTTACAGATACATGTAGGCATGGATATATGCTTTATATATATAAAATGTTAAATGTTACATGAGGGCATAGATACAGAAGTGACTCATGATTATCACATGGTAAAGTCTTGTACGTCATAAGCAAAAATGCTAGTGGAATGTATGTATATTTGAATAAGCAGAAATTTATGGTTGAATGATCTGTTTTTCAGCTATTATCTTTACAAACTTGGCCTCAAACACATTTGTACATCCCATTTTGTACACATGTAGGGCTATATCTAAATGGTATATTTCTAAAAAGTAGAATTACTAAATCAAAGATTGTATGCATCTGTAACTTTAATCTATTTTGCTGCATTATGCTTTGAACTTTTATCATACTCTCAGTTCTAATCATTATTTTATGTAACATTTCCACATAGATATACATACACTAATATAAGTCTCTAATATGCTTGAGTCACAATGCTCAATATTTACATGGTCTGATAGCCACCTGAATCAAAAGCCAAAGTTGAAATATCTATGAAAGTGAATCTCTTCTTATTTTCAAGCTATTTACTGTGCCCTTACATCCCTTAAAACGGGAGCTTCCTCTAGATACATGTTGGACACAAAGTCTGTTTTCTAGATACTAACTTGTTGTACAACACAAGTCAAAGCCATAAAGAAAGTCAGTTAAGTGTAATGTGACTAATGTGGTGGGTTTTTTATATTGTTACTTAACTGATTAGTTGATTTGGCTTGGTTTGGTTGAGTCATGATACCTGAAAACACTTGGTGACAAGTTGTGAAGAAATTAAAATTTCTCGAGCAAATATTTCTGGACTTTGTTTAACAGTTCAACTGTGCTACAATTTATATGAATAACTGGGTCAATATGGTTCTCAAATATAACTTCCTTTATATGCAAACATATCAAATTTTTTTAAAATCTTGTAAAATGATAAGGTAGATATTGATATTTGATTGGACTGACTAGGATCTAAATGTGATCAGGTTTCCAGGGGTCAGGGAGAGCTAAAAATTAGCAGGATGTTCCATTACAGTGCTTTCAGACTGTTTTGCTGCTAAGACTTTATAGGCTTCCATAAAGAGGCAAGGAAATTGCTTTTACAGCTAAAAGAAAAAAGGTGAAACAGCTGATCTTTAACATTTAACTAATGAAGATGGGGGTGCCTGTGATGTTAAAATGTGAAGTCACAGAATTATACCCACAAATGAGTTTTGAGTGAGGTGATCTTGATAGGTAATCAGATATTTTGCTCTTGGGACACAATCATACTTTTCTTTCTAAACAAATTTACCTTTCTCGCTGTCTTTCTTTATATGATTTCTGGTACTTAATAGATTTGTGTACAATTCACTATTTTCATTGTTAAAATTAAGAGTTGATGTCACAGTATCAAATTTAACTTTTAAAGTTATAATTTCCAAATCAGCAAATAGAAGTATGTGCGTAATGTGCATACAAATGTGTCATAAGGAGGGGAATCTTATTTCTCCCATTTTAGTACTACTGTTCTCATCACCACACTTTTCTCCTTATTGGT